GCTGTATCTTCTAAAGCCTGTAATACGATTTTGCATGTGATAGACACTCAGTAAATATTTACTGAATGAATGAATAAAATGAGATCTCCAAAAAGGCAAGAACATATTGGACCCAGAGCATGGCTGGGCAGATTAACACTGGACAATGTTCCTGTTACAGCTGTTTAATAAACCACCTCAAACCTAAACATATAAGACAAAAAAATTATATTATGCCTCAAATTCTGTAGGTCAGGAATTCAGTAAAGGCATAGTGAAGATGTCTTTGCAACATAATATCTGGGGCCTCACTTGGAAATCTTGAAGGCTGGAAGTGACATTGGGGTTGGAGACTGGAATTATTCAAAGGGCTGCTTACTCCAATGTCTGGTGGTGAATGTTTGTTCAGCTTGGGCTGATAGTCAAAATACCTACACAAAGTTAAGCTTCTTTGTGGCTTAATGGCTAGATTAAGCACATGTTCCCCTTAAAAATTCAGCAGAAGTTCTATCACCATTTATCATCTAGACTGGAGAAATCATTTTTTCTCTAATCATAAGTATGCCCAGATAGAAGAACTACTCTATTTCTTGGTAGGAGGAGTGCTAAACTCAAATAATAGGAAGAACCTATAGACTGATGTATTGGTCCATTTTCTGTTACTTTAACAAAATGCCTGTGTCTGTACAATAATGAGAAAAGAAAAGAGATTCATTTAGCTCATCGTTATGGAGATTCAAGGGCATGGTGCTGGCATCAGCTGGACTCTAGTGAAGATGGCATCATAATGTTGTGAGTGCATGTGAGAAAGAGAAGTCATATAGTGAGACAGGAAGCCAGAGAGAGATTCAGGAGACAGGCTCCATCTTTGACAGCAACCACTGATGAAAACTAACCATAGTCCCACAAGATCTACATCAATTCCTTCTAAGGGCAGTGCCCTCAGTGACCTATTTACTTCTCCTTAGGTTCTATACTGCTTAAAGGTTCTATACTGCTCACAACACTAGCATACTGGGGATCAAGCTCCCAACACATGACCCTGGGGGTATATTCAATTCATATCTTAACTATAGCAGATGGGAAACATGGCTGCCGTTTTTTGCTGCCTCCACATGTATCATGGCCAGTCTTGTGGCCATTCATGCCCAATTCTGACAACCAATGTGAGAAAACAGAAGAAACCTGGAAAGAATTCTAAAAATTCATGTTTATCAATTTCAGGATTGATTTCCAACTTTTATCTTCAACTTTGTAGGGACAAATAATCCCAGCTTATTTATTTATTTATATTGATTTTAAAAAATAAATGACAGCAGAATGCATTATAATTCTTATTACACATATATACTACAATTTTTCATATCTCTGTTGGTATATAAAGTATTTTGACACCCAATTCATGAATTCATACATGTACTTTGGATAATGATATCTATCACATTCCACCATCCTTGCTAATCCCCTGTCTCCACCCTTTCCCTCCCACTCCACTCCCTATCTAGAGTTCATCTATTCCTCCCATGTTCCCCCTCCCTACCCCACTATGAGTCAGCCTCCTTATATCAGAGAAAACATTAGGCATTGTTCTTTTGGGATTGGCTAATTTCACTTAGCATTATCTTCTCCAATGCCATCCATTTTACCTGCAAATGCCATGATTTTATTCTCTTTTATTGCTGAGTAAAATTCCATTGTGTATATATGCCACATTTTTTTTATCCATTCCTCCACTGAAGGGCATCTAGGTTGGCTCCACTGTTATGAAGACAAACAGCAATAAGTGTTGGCAAGGATGTGGGGAAAAAGGCACACTCATACACTGCTGGTGGGACTGCAAATTGGTGCAGCCAATATGGAAAGCAGTATGGAGATGCCTTGGAAATCTGGGAATGGAACCACCATTTGACCCAGCTATCCCTCTCCTCGGACTATACCCAAAGGACTTAAAAACAGCATACTACAGGGACACAGTCACATCAATGCTTATAGTAGTACAATTCACAATAGCTAAACTGTAGAGCCAACCTTGTTTTTATTTTTAATAATGTTCAAACAATGTTCTTGCACAGTTTGGTGGCAATGGGATGGCCACCAAATACTATCATCCTGATAGTATTTCACATGACTGATGAGATCCATCCTTCCCTTCCTTTCCCTCTCGCTTTCCCTTTCTTTCTTTCCCTGGGAATGAGCTCAGGGGAACTTAACAGCTAAGCCACATCCCAGCCCCTTTAAAAAAATATTTTATTTAATGACAGGGTCTTTCCAAGTTGCTTAGGGCCTTGCTAAATTGCTGAGGCTGGCTTTGAATTTGTGATCCTTCTGCCTTAGCCTCTGGAGCTGCTGGGATTACAGGCATGTGCCACCATGCTTGACAAATTCTTCCTTCCTGTAAATTTTTGTTTAGAACTTTTTCTTACTTTATAATACAGTTAAGTTCATTAGTTTACACTGAAGGTAACACTCAGGATATTATCCAAGTACTATTGAAAATGGGATTTATATTTCTGTTTTTTTGAAATGGTGTCCTGTGGCCCAGGCAGGTCTCTACAATATGAGCTCAAGCGATCCTCCCACTTGTGCATCCCAAGTAGCTGGGACTACAGGCATGCCAGAATGCCCAGCCTAGATTATTTTTAAAATGAGCATTATAGAGCAAGAACAAACAAACCCCAAAACACTTGTCCAGATTCATTTTTATAACAAATGTGTTAATATGCACTAGAATTCTTTAGCAGAGATCAGCTGCCTGTGGTTTGTGGGCTTTACTTCTTTTCAAGGAGTTGCTGGTTCAGCTGCAAGTGGAAAAACCCGTGGCCTTCATTGTTTCTTGCTTTGCTCTTTCTCCATTTCTAATTTTCTCTATTTTATAAAATTTTCCATAGAAATTGCTGTGAAAATTTGTGTTCCAGATCTGATCTTCTGTTTGATAGGTTATTAGTGAAAACTTTGCCTACTTTCATTTTGAATTGCAAGCGCTTCAGATAAATTTTATTGCAGATAGATTTTTCTCTTCTCAAACCTCTTGGTTACTGACTAAAGAACTAAATGTTTGCACATGGGTATTCGTAAGAGCTCAGATTTGTATTATGACATTTCAGATCCCTGAGCTATGTTGTATAAAGCACTCTACCTACGCCACTGAAAATATTTTCACAGTAATTATAGTTACTATTACTGCAAAAGCTTAGGATTTGTATATACAAAAGAAATGTTTTATTTATAGATAGAAAACTGGGGGACCAGTGAAGAGAAAAATTATGAAAGGAGATTCTACCAGTTAGTACTTGCTATATGTGTTTGGGGAGACAGAAAAGCATAATCATAGCTCTCTGACGGAAAAGACTTTACAATTTTATTACAAAAAA